TGGTGCTCCGCCAGCGTATACCGTTAGCGTATACGGGGTTATCACTCCATTCAAAAACAAAAATCTACTTTGCTATACACATCTAGGTATAGGTTATTAGTACCACTTCACATCAGATGTGCCAACAATTTGGTTTGCCTATTCCAAGTCACATAAAACAAATAGTTTTGTGACTCACCTGGGATCGAATCTTTATGCATTTGAGTTAAACAAATTAAATTGTTCGGAAGCAATGACACAGGCACAGGTAGAAACTTTAAACTTCTATCGTCATATATTTACATCGATGGTTAAAAATAAATCCAACTGCTAGTTAAACGAACGTAATTAAATTTTGCGAGTCCAGTTGACCCAGAACTTAATTGTTTTAACGCCAGCCCAACGTTTTATAACTATCTCTATCAAAAATATTTATTGTCTTTCTGGCATTGAATGGTCTCTACCGCCCATCATTTCTTTTTTACAACTCGGAATTGGTAATGAGCTGACGACTCAGTAAATGGGAAGTGGTCACTGCGTGGTTTTTTTTTATACAACTTATGGTAGAATGGCAAACAAGCTGACGGCCCACCTGACGGAAAGTGGTAACCGTCGCCTATAGACATGAGCGGTACCATGGACATAACAGAGTATACTGTTTCGCCCATTATACCCCCCATGCGTTGCCATTCCTGAGGACTCAGATGTTATTCCTCTGTAACCTGTAAATTCACGCCATAATCTATCCTTCAAACTGAAACACAACCATGCAAACACAACTGCTTCACGATAGAAACACGAATAGGACAGAGGTACTCAAGCAATCGACTTTTGTACAAAGTCTCCCTCTGGTGGTCTCTATCGTATTATTACTGTATTTATAAACTTTTCACCCTCTACGACCGCAGATTTTAGAAGTAGGAATCCGACCACTATTAAACGCTATATCAAAGTAAAGCATACAGCAGTTTTTAAATTACACCTTCAGGAATATAAACAATGAAAATCGCATTCAGTTTGGTGCAGTAGTTATTATGTAATGCTGGAACAAACACGGAGACAGGAAGACTGATGACAGATTTTTTTAAATTATTCTTTTAGCATCTATTGCTCCTATTTAAACCCCTTACAAAAAAAAAATCATTTTTTGAAAATCTAGTTCTAATTCTAGTTACTATTTGATAATATAAATAATATTTATTTATTTATTTATATATTTATTCACAATTTGTGTATGTGTATTGTATTTACATTATTTCCATCGGTACCTTTCATGCATTGGATTACCCAAATTATATTATTTTCTCTCTAACTACACTGGGTTGGCTGGAAGAGATCTCTTTCAGAAATAAACCCTCCCTTGCTAACAAGTTGTTAAACTAATCGTCACATGTATTGTTTAAGTGCAATAAATAATATATATATAAGAAGTAAAATAAGAAGTGCCGCCATGCGGTCCGGCATAGAAAAGGCCACCCCTTCCTTCCCGTGGGTATTATAAAAGAGGGGACTAAAGGAATTTAACAGTTGAGGTACAGGCAGCAATGTTCTTCTTAAAACATCTCCAAAGTCTAATTATGGTTGCCAATCCGCCTGCCAAGCGTGGCAAATAGCGTAGGTGGGGTACCATTTCATTATCATCCATTAAAAAAGTCTCCTCCTGATAGTTTATTTATTTTACATACCATTGATTTTCACTCGGTTAACTATATGGAGTAAAGATATAGACGGATTAGACATGCACTTGTGTAGACGGTAAATAAAAAAAGAAACACTTGTTTATACAATGTTATAAACAAATGGTTTTTTAAACGCAACGTTTTTTGTAATTACATGGTTTTTTACATAAGCATACATACATACATACATACATATCTGTCACGCCTGTCTCCCATTAGGGTAGGCAGAAACAATGGAACGCCAAATGCTTCGATTCAAACAAACCTCATTCGCTTCTTCCACATTCCTCAATCTTGTCATACACGCTCGTCGGTTACGGGTACTTTTAATTTGGCCCTTCTTCAGCACGTCGCCTATTCGGTCGACGTACGTCCGTCTAGGGCGGCCCCTACCGACATCTCCATTCATTCTTGCTCGATAAATCTCTTTCGTAATTCTTCTTTCATCCATCCTCTCCAAATGACCAAACCAACGCAACATTCCTTTTTCAATTTTTGTCACTACATCATCTTTACATAAGCACTTCACCATAAATTGTAACAGTCTAAAAATACTTACTTCTCTGTTGTTTCAGTGCGAGAAACAAAACTGTAAGTGAGCCATGATTTGGCTCGGTGTATTGAGATTTCCATAATATTATCGTACAATAGTAAATTTGAAATAAAAATACAATATCATATATAAGTTAATTTCAACTTCATAATAATGTAACAAGGAAGCCAGACAAATGCTTTATTATTATTTTTTAAATTTTACAAAAAATCTCATCTACCCTCTTAAGGAGAGGAGATGGCAACTATTCCCCGGCAGAAGTACAGTCGGCCCGGGTTCAGGGCCCCAGGGAGAGAAACCCGCGTACAATGCGGACAGAATCTAAGAGCACCGCTTTCTGCATCTTTCTCGGGAGTGAGCCGCCTCGGAATCCCAACCGTCTGAGATGTTGTTCCAGGCTGGTTGGGTTATTATTATTATTTTATTTCAGCCGTTAACTGTCCACTGCTAACCATAAACCTTCTCCATAATAGTTTTGCCAGAAGTTGCTACGCTTGGCAGGCGGGTTAGCAACCGCAGTTAGGCTTTTAGAGATGTTTAATAGGAACGCTGCTGCCCATGTGTTATTCCTCCGTACCCAGTAAATTTACACCATACTCCACCCTTCAAACCGAAACACAGCCATGCAAACACAACTACTTTACGGTTGAAACACGAATGGGACAGAGGTACCCAAGCAATCGACTTTTGTATAAAGTCTCCCTCTGGTAAAATTTAAATTAAGTCCTACCCAAATGGCTCAATCTGAAAATCAGCACTGTAGCTGCTCTGCTGCAGCATAACGCTCAGAGGGGACCATTTCGGCAAACAATGCGTAAAAGCTTCACCTCCTATACATGTTGTGTTACTCTGTATGAACCTTTTTTGGAAGTGTAACAATGTTTGCTAAATAAACTATTTTTTTTTTGTTAATTAATAATTAAATCTTAATTAGTGTTCCTCAAAAATCCATTTTAAATTTCTTAAAAAAAAAATTTAAAGGCGAGAGACACGTGCCAGAGTTTTCAGACAGTGACAGAAAAAAAATACCGCCTATTCCATATTAAAAATTTAACCTATTAACATTACAAGAGGGCGAGTCCCACGTAATATTAAGGTCAAACAGGGTGTAGTCTCTAATTAGAGGACGTAAATTACAGTAGCTGTGATCCAGCAGTAGTCAGGCGATGCACGCTTTTGTTTCCGTCATAAACTTCACAGCTGCATCAAGCTATAAACACCTCGTTTGTTTTGACAATCTAATTGAGATAAATCATGACTTTTCTAGCCGTCGTTTCTATTGACGTGTAGTCCTGGCGTAGAACCACCTCTTCCTTTCCCGTGGGCGTCGTAAAAGACACTAAGAAAACTTAAAAGTCGAGGGATGGGCAGCAGCGTCCCTTTTAAAACATCTCTAAAGCATAACTGTGGTTGCCAATCCGGCAAGCTTTTGTCATGCAAAATAGATGAAGACAGTATTATTTACAGATGATACTTCTTTGATTTTTAAAGTTGAAAGATTTACTAATAAATAATGACAATTTGCATAGTGCTTTGCTGCATTTCTTGCATTGATTTACAACTAATCTAATGTTAAATGCTAAAAAAATAAAATGCTTAATTTTTTCTCTATCTAAAAATCATAATTCCAAATCGAATGTTATCGATCGTTAAATAACGAGCCACTTGATTTTATAGATTCCACTGTCTTCCTTGGAGTCACTGTTGATAATAAAACTCAATAGGGTTCCTCATATTTAAAACCTTGCAACTAAATAATAATTAGTGAATTTACAAAGTACAGAGGATTAACACCTGAGTCCTCAGGAATGGCAACGCATGGGGCGTATCATGGGCGAAACAGTATACTCTGTTATGTCCATGGCACTACTCATGTCTATAGGCGACGGTTACCACTTTCCATCAGGTGAGCCGTCAGCTTGTTTGCCATTCTAAGTTGTATAAAAAAATTAATAAATTTTGCGACGTACACTGTACGCAGGGTTAAACAATATACTAATATTGAGACTGACAATTTTGTTTATTTTAGTTACTTTCATAGTATACTGCCCTATAGAATATTATTATTGGGTAAAGCAGCCGACATCCAAAGCGTATTTGTATCACAAAAATGTGTTGTTCGCGCAATTTATTCTATGGAAAGTCGTGAATCATTAAGAGAGAAATTTAAGGAAGCCAATTTTCTCACTGTAGCTTCACAATACGTATACGCAGCAATCTTCGAATGTTTCTTTAAAACGGCGATCTTATTAAATTTAAAAACAATGACGATTTAAAAGTGCTTGTAAACAAGTTTATTTAAACAAAAAATATTTGAATTTAAATTTGAAGAAGGACATAAACGCTACTCTGTAACTCAATGAATCTAAGCATCCCGGACACGAACGACGTCGCGGAAATTATATTTATTTATTTAACTCTTTATTGCACCATAAGTAAAAATATACAATGACAAGTGAATAATTCAAGTGAAATACAGTAACATAAATACAGATTGGAATATATACATAAAGGTACAAAAGGCGGTGTTATCGCTAGGGCGATCTCTTACAGACAACCTTTAGTTAAAGGAGAACAGATAGAAAAGGGCAGGTGGCGCAAGAGTGAATTAATATATATATATATATATATATATATATATATATATATATATATATATATATATATATTTATACATATATATATTTATACACATATATATATTTATACACATATATATATATATATATATATATATATATATATATATATATATATATCTTGATAAAAAAACAGTATAGTAAACTCACCAGCGTAATGTAGGGCTGTCTCGAAGGGCGCGCGCTGCACCCGCTCCTTGCTTTCTGCCAACAAACAAAAATAGATCAGTCCGTCGTACGCGATGTGCCAAACATTCAGCGAATACGGCGGTGTACAGGGAAATGTGACAACAACACGTATTGAGCGAACTTTGGACCGTCCACATATATAATAATATAAAACGCTATGTCCGGCCTAAGAGTGATCTTTGATCACAATAAAATATTTTTTTTTTTATACAACTTAGAATGTCAAACAAGCTGACGGCCCACCTGATGGAAAGTGGTAACCGTCGCCTATAGACGTGAACAGTACCATGGACATAACAAAGTGTACTGTTTCGCCCATGATACTCCCCATGCGTTGCCATTCCTGAGGACTCGGGTGTTATTCCTCTGTACCCTATAAATTCACTGCCATATCCCACCCTTCAAACCGAAACACAGCCATGTCAAACACAGCTGCTTCACGGTTGAAATACGAATGGAACAGAGTTAAATAGAGTTAGAATAAAGATGTTTATCACTGTACTTATACTACATATAAACGTATAACTTAACTCCCAATAAAATTGGTGGTAGGCGACAGTGGTTGGGGGAAGGGGATGCCTAATAAAATAACTCTGTACATCAATTACTGCGAATGTCGCTATTAACTTGAAAATGAAGCGATGGCGATGGCGAAAATGGCGCACAAACATGGTGTCGATAATAAAATAGAACTAGAGATGGGAAAAATACCTAAATATATTTTATTGTATTATATATTCAATTTTTTACTGGGTATTATTTAGTTTATCTTTAACTGTACGGTTATTACCCTTATACATTCTACAGTTTTCTTTCAGCGTCTCAAAGGTTGACTGTAAGAGATCCCTTTATAACGCCGCCATTGTATATTAAATCGTTTATCAGTGCTTAATTTGAATTATATACAATAAAGATTTTACAATACAATCAATACAATATATAATGATATTTTTTATAGATAGAACACTTTATTTGAGCCATTTATGACACACGTAAATTAACTAATTAAATTAATACAATCAAATGATTAACATATTAAGGAAAAATATTTACGCCAAGTGTGTCGCAGTGACCCAAATAGGCTACAGCTCAGTGATAGTTTTGCTTAAAAGCAAACCACTGGGGGCTTACCATCAAATGTTATCCGAAATTTCAGGGTTGAACGAATCGCAAATTTGATGTTATAATTACATAATTAACACTGTTCAAAAATAATAAAAATGTTAAAATATTGTTTCTTTGGACTTTTATGGTCTACCATAAATTCTAATTTATGACTAACAAAATATTAATCTCCATTGACTGGGACGATTTCGGTATGAAAGAAAATATGAAATTGTGTTCGAAAATTCGGAATTTCATTTCATGGTGGACCCCTGATTTTCAGCTGCAGCCTGAAGCTAGGCTACACGGACGCGTGCAAAGAACCTAGTGTCCCTGTACAACCAGATTAACATACAGATATAAAAATATATTATATAAATATATACATAATGTAATATAGGTACATAAATACATAAATCTTCTTCCTTTTATTCTAAATGCTTTACTGTTCAGGCAGTCCGTCTATGGAACTCACTGCCTACCTCTATTCGGTGCGCCCAAACTCTTACTAGCTTCAAAACCTCTGTTAAATCTTACTACCTCTCACTTTAGTACTATTTTCCTGTGTTCTCTCTTCGTTTTCCTTCGTCATTTTTTTCTGTTGTATGTATGCTGTTAAGTATGTGTATGTTATGTATATATTTAATTGTGTATATATTACATATGTATGTGTATGTATGTATGTAAGTTATGTATATATTTAATTGTGTATATATTATATATGTATGTGTATATATTATATATGTATGTGTATATATGTATGTATGTATCTATATATGTTTGTATATGATAATATTTATATAATAGTGCGCCACCTACTCTTTGTCTTTTTCTCAATGTCCTCTACCCAAAGGTTGTCTGGAAGAGATTGCTTAGCGATAAGGCCGCCTTTTGTATCACTTCTCATTAATATTTACTGTATTTGTTATTTCTCTTTTTACTTGGTGCAATAAAGTGTAAATAAATAAATAAATAAATAAATAAATAAATAAATAATGCAAAATAAATATAGATGTTTGATCGTTAAATATTCGTTTAAAAAAATAATCCGATGTATAAATGCTAAGTGTTAACAAAAATATTGTAACAAGTAAGTAATATTGGGTGGATTTATGTATATATATAGCATTGTAAGCATCCTTAGCTATAAATATCAAGAAAAATCCGATTGTATTACATATTTACAGTTTGTAGCTACCGTATTTATTTTACGAGTACTTTAGTTGAACGAACAGTCGATGTCCTATTCAAATTGATCTTTTTTCTTTTCCTAAAAACCTTAATCAAATCAACCTATGTATCCAAATAATTGAACCCTTCTTTGCATAACGGTGGAAATTTCCATCATAACATTGAATGCCCAAAAATTATGTAAAAGAACAAATTCACTTTAAGTTGATCGTGTCTGGATACCTTTTTAATGTCCATTGCAGAAAAAAAAACATAGCTGTCAAATTTATTTTTTTAACCATTAATCCTTTAATTTTGAACATCAATTACATAACCTTGATTTATTTCACCAATAAAAAAAATCATGCAAAGAAGGATTAACTACCAGTAAATGGGGGAAAGGGATTGTTAGCAATGGAGTTTGACAGCCCCATTGCTAGCAATATGCCTTATTAGGTCGACCTCCACGTGGTTCTCCCTGAAAACCATCGTGAACAATTCTTGTTGAATTCGTCACGATGGGCTAACTGACCTACTTCATCCTCACCTTCACTGGTGCCCCGCCGGTGTATACCGATAGCGCGGCTTACCATTCCATTATCATCCATTAAAAAAAAACTACCAAAAAATAAAGTTTAAAAAAATATTACACATTTAGGGGCCCTTTACGATAAATGCTAAACGGTTTATGTCGAAAAGCCAAGTTATTTGAAATATTATTCGTTTCACTGGTCCTCACTATTCACTATAATAAAGGCGTCGTCTCAAGTTACGTACCTGGGTAGTCCAAGGTCGCTGGATCTATTTTATTTTACGATGAACATAAACGTTTCGGTTGTGATAAAAGTAACGAATCTAAATTAAATGGTATCGCGGTTCGTTTGTAATACTAGAAAAAACAATTGATGTTTTAATTAGGTCGGTTTTTGTGGTACTCTTAATTGTTAGCGTGAAGACTCTCGTTTACATGATTCGGTTATAATCGATTATATTGAAATAGAAATAGTTTAAATAAGAATCGTAATGGTAGACATGCTGTTTTGCGTAAATAATTCTTCAGACTCCATATTGTTGTGGAAATTCTTTTAGATAAAATATTTCTGTTGTAAATATATATATATATATATATATATATATATATATATATATATATACAACTTAGAATGGCAAACAAGCTGACGGCCCACCTGATGGAAAGTGGTAACCGTCGCCTATAGACATGAGCAGTACCATGGACATAACAGAGTATACTGTTTCACCCATGATACCCCCCATGCGTTGCCACTCCTGAGGACTCAGGTGTTATTCCTCTGTACCCAGTAAATTCACGCCATATCCCACCCTTCAAACCGAAACCCAGCCATGCAAACACAACTGTTTCACGATTGAAACACGAATGGGACAGAGGTAACCAAGCAATCGACTTTTGTACAAATTCTCCCTCTGGTTATATAAAATAATGATTATGGCTGTTTGATTATCTATTTTATATTAATTTATTAGATTTTAGTTAGCAATAATAATAAGAAAATTTCACTGTTCATCAAATTGAGTGGAGGTTTTTTAATGATTAATATAAATATATTTTTTAATAAGGATTCATGCGGGAAAGATTGTCATAGATAGTTTGTTTAAATATAAACTAATGAAAATGTAAACAAACGAATGCTCGATCGGACCGAAAGGCAGTCTGTTAATGTCCAACAGTTACGCAAATCACAAAACGATTAATTGACTGTTTCGAATTTTATTTAAACAATTTTTGTGTGATAATTTTAACAAAACTTTGATTTTATGAAATGAAATGAAATATTTATTTGCTTTAAACAGACATTTGACATTATAAGGGCCATGTGACAAAACTTTTTGGCATCTATTTAATTGACTTAAAATTGTAGGCGTGCAAATCTAATTTAATTTATTAAATAAGGATACAAATTTAACTTAGAGATTGTTATGATTATAGAATAATAAAAAAAGAAAAAAAACATTTAAAAAAACGATTGAAAGAGTACACACACACACACACACATATATATATATATATATATATATATATATATATATATATATATATGAGATATATATGTATATTAACAAGTTCTTAAACTAATCGCTGTATCTTATTTTTTCAAGTGCAGTAAAGAATATAGAATTAATAATAGCATTTTAGAGGAATCCAAATAAATTCATCATTGTCTTGTGGTACGCGAATGGAATTAGTATCATAAGTACATGGCAGATATGTAATTCTATTTATGTTGTGAACAGTTCGCTTGCCAAACGATTTGTCTTTGATAATGTGATACTACACGAGACGTGGCTATCAACTGTTTGTAATACGGAGTAAATGTAATAAAAGAACATCCGTCTGTACGGAAACTTTATTTTATTAATAAACATTAACAGAATAATAATAGTAGTACTCTTGACTTACTCCAATGTCTCTAATTAGGTAAGTGGAGTAAGTCAATAATATCGATAAGTGGAGATGAAATCATGGTGGACCCACCATGAAATGTTTTCCGAAATCTCAGAGTCGAAGATACATAAGAAAAACTATTGTAGATGGGTTTTATGTACGCAATAGAACTTAAAACTATGATTTTCAGAATTTTTTTCTGTTTGTACGTTTTAGTGCGCTAATCTCAGAAACGGCCTAACCGATTTTGAACACGGTTTTCATTAATACGTTGCGGTTTACTTCACTTATAATTAAGTCTTCGTTTTATTTCAATCAG